TGGATAGTCCCAGTCTTCCCTTCCTCCTTCCATAGGGCTGAGTGAGTGTGATCTGTGGGCAGTCTCTCTCCCCAAGCCTCTCGCAGGGACCAATGAGCAGCAGGAGGCTGAGGGCCTCATCCTGCTACCCCAAACCAGGAGGGAGCATTTGAGGTTCTCAAACAGGGCCTGCAGCCTTTTCCCATGCTTCAGGAACCTCCCCTCTGCCTCGCCAGGTCCCGGAGGAAGAAGAAGTGGAACGTGGTGGAGCAACGAGTGTGGGCTGGAGGCACCGAATCGGAGATGTTCAACAAGCTGGAGAGCATCGCCTTGTCCCCTTCTCCACGGACCCCGGTGCTGGGCTGTCACATCAGCAGGGCCCTGGAGCCTGCTGTGGCCAAAGGGGAGGTGAGGATGTGGGTCTGTGCTGCTGAGGTCTCAGCTGTCCTTGGTCTAGTGGCACCGCCATGTTCAGCCCTTCTCAGATGCTAGACCCCCAGTAGGCTCTTGGAGCTATGCAGGAAACTGTCTGCGTGCCATCAAGGAAACCCAGCACCCCCAAATTTAGCAGGCTTTTCCCAAGAGCTTTCCTGTATTAGGGGACCAGGCCCTGGACCCCGCTGCTCTCTTTGCATCCATCTGTGTTTCTTTTCACCAGTTTGTGACTAGCAGAGTGAACTGGGTGGTGCAGAGCTCCGCCGTCGACTACCTGCACCTCATGCTGGTGGCCATGAAGTGGCTCTTTGAGGAGTTCGACATCAGCGGGCGGTTCTGCATCAGCATCCACGATGAGGTGCGCTACCTCGTCCAGCAGCAGGACCGCTACCGGGCCGCCTTGGCCCTGCAGATCACCAACCTCCTCACCAGGTGAGGGGGGACGGCCGTGGTGTCCCCTGGGGAGAGCACCAGCGCCTCCGGTGGGACAGGGCGAGGCCAAGGGTCTGGGGTGGCCAGCAGAGGTGTTGGCTGTGCCCACAGCAAGCTGGTGCAGGGTGGGTTTCTGCTGCTGGGGGGAAGCTGGCAGCGCTGGAGGTTAAGTTGGTTAGCCAGTAGTGGAGGACTGGGTCCTTCTCTTTGGAGGAGGCTCAACCTCCTGGTGCTCTGTCCCTCCCACAGCCACTTGAGCCGTGCTCGACCCTCCTGCTGCCCAGCACTTTGGAAAGCACCTTGTCTTCCAGCTTGGGGAGAGATGTGGGTGCAGACTAACCTGTGAGGGAGGGCTGCCCTGTTTTTTTGTGAAGCTCTGGCTGATCAGAACCAGGTGTGACAAGGCTGAGGGGGATGGGTGGCATGGTCCCACCCTGTCTGTTCTTCCAGGTGCATGTTTGCCTACAAACTGGGTCTCCAGGATCTGCCGCAGTCAGTGGCTTTCTTCAGTGCAGTGGATGTTGACCAGTGCTTAAGGAAAGAGGTGACCATGAGCTGTGTGACACCATCAAATCCGACTGGGATGGAGAAGAAGTATGGCATCCCCCAGGGTGAGTGGTGGCTGCACAGCCCGAACCCCCTGTGGGCTGCTCTGCACCAGCCTCCCTGCCTGGCCTAACCCCTTAGTCCTTTCCTTCCTGACCCATCACCTGACCCACCTGCAGGGCAACCATCACTCTGCCCTTTCCTTTCTCAGTCCTCGACTAGTTTGTGCTGCAGCTTCCAACTATTCCTGTTACTGTTATTACTCCCTCCATGTGTTTGCTTTGTGCCCCTCAGAGGAGCCCTCCTGTGCACTTTTAACACAGGGCAAGTTTGAGTTGTTCCTTCTCTGAAACCAGGCATCTCAACAACTTTGTTTATTGTGCCAAACTTACCCAGCCCTTGGTGCTCTCTCCTTCCCCCTTTCCCATAAGGCTGGCACAGCTCTGGTCAGAGACCTGCCTTGGCATTGCAGGCCCAAGGTGTAGAGTCATCCCTGCCTGCACTCAGCAGAACCTTCTACCTGCTGCAAGCAAACATTTAACTCTTGGCTGGGAGCTGCTTTAAATGGCTCCTCCTCCATGTGCAGCAGCAGCACTTTCCTGGATAAGAATGTGCCAGATAAGAATCAGATTTTTTTGGACACATCAGACACACCAGCCTTAGGTAATCTTTATTTAGGAGTCTTGCAGGCAAAAAGTGCTTTGAGAAACAGAATTTGCATTGTGTAGGCAAAAAGGCAACTTCTGAACAAAGCCCATTAAACAAGGGCCTGAGATAAGGGTCAGCAAAACCAGAACAGCAACCCTGGCAGAGGAAACTCTCTGCTGCACTCAGCAGCCAGCCTCAGCTCCTGGTACCAGCCTCCCACGGGTGCTGGTTCCTGCATTCACACCACCGCGCAGAGCAGAAGTTTGGATAAAATCAGGGCTTTTTGTGCTACATGCTCTGAATTAAGGCACATCGTGGCTGTGTTACACAGGCTGCGTACTGCAGAGTGCAGGGAACTGACTGTCCCCTTGTCTTCCAGGAGAAGCACTGGATATCTATCAGCTAATTGAAATAACCAAAGGTTCGCTGGAGAAGAAGTGATGACGCTGGGGTGCCAGAATGACAAGTGTCCAGCCTGTGTGCCAGGGCCTGGCTGTCCTTTCAGAAGGAGATCGCTTTGGCAGGGACTGATCCTGGCCCCTCTGTTCCCTTGTAGCTGTAAGAAGGGATGTTCCCAGGGAAGATTTTGATAGCAGGACGCTGGAATAGCAGAGGTGCTGCTGAGGGCAGCAGCCAGCTGTAAAACCTGAGGCGGGGGCCAGAGCTGCTCTTGCGCAGGCACAAAGGAAGAAGTCTGAAGTATTTGGCAAGAGAAACAACAGACCCTTGTCTCTGTACAGGTGGTTCTCTTGAGACTGAGGCGAGTCTGCCACAGAGCTGGTGCTGTGGAAGGGGCAGGAGCAGCTACTCCTGCTTTATTTTTTTCGCTGTCTCTTCTTTTTGGGTTCCTGGTTCTCATCAGTCTGCTCTGCTGTGTTGCTCTGGAGAGGGGAGGGAGAGAGTAACAGCACAGAGCATGATTGCTTTCCTGTGATTAGTCTAAGGAATGTTTACCTAAAGCAAAGAAACTAGATGTGGAGAACAGCATTTAGCTCTTTTTTCCTCCCTAACAAAATGACCTGGATGTGGGTCACCCCTTGAGACTTTTCCTACAGACCCCCAGTTCATGCTGCAACTTAGACCACAGGTTATTAATGGCACAGGACAAGGACTGTGTATGCTGGGGTTTGGCTTGTTGAAACACTCAGGAAAATATGGACAGAAGCACCAATAAAAACCTGGACAATCAGCAAAGTAAATGGTTTATTTTTTTACCCAGCCCAGGTTGTGCTGCCTTCCTCAGCACTATTTATTAGAGGAGCTGGGTCTGAGGAGGACACCCTGCAGAGTTTGCCCGGCCAGATGTTTATCTACAAACGATAACCTGGATGCAAAAGCACATTGCATCATGCTGCAAAGGTCTGATCCTGGCCAGCCAGGAGGTCCTCAGAGGTAATGCTGATAGACTCTCTGCTTGCTGAGGCAAACAAGACCTTAAGAATAGCCTCACTTCCCCGAGACCAGAGATGTAGGTGAGTGGTGCATGGCAATAAAGGTCACTCAAGGCAGAGGGGACATTAGCCAGACTAACTGTTCACTTCTTCTTATCAGCTCAGTATTAAAGTGAGAGTGAATCCAGGGAAGACAAACTGTCCTGATTTCACATAGGCTCACACAGCTCACAAATACAGTTGGCCTGAAAAGAGCAGGAGGCCTGTGGGCAAAAAAGCAGCTAGCTGAGTTCTGACCTGGTCGTTGTCTGGCTCGTTCTCAGCACCCTCTGTGTTGTGCTCCTGCAAGGCGCTGTCGAGCACGGAGGCGTTGATGCGGAAGTCCCGGGAGGTGCTGAGCTTCATGTATTGCATCAAGTTCACCTGCAGCAGGGAAGGTGAAAGGAGGAGAGGACATTATGCCATTAGTTTAGTTTTCCACCCTGCCTAGTCCTTTGCGCTTCACCGGGACCGAGTCCATCACAGTAATAATGTGGGGCTGAAGCCAAAGGTAGGTGGGTGAAAAAGCACCTGCCCCTGTGCTGTCCAGTAGCCCACTTATAGCACCTCATTGTGGTACCTTTCTTTCCTGCTTATGAAAAACTGGGGGATAGGGGTGAGGAGAGGTCATGTTAGGTGGGGGAAACTCCAGGTTGTCAGGTCAGAGGCACTGCTGCCCTTGGCACCTGCTGGTACTGCTGTGACAGTGAGTCTGTAGAGCTTGGGCAGAGCCTGAAACTAGGGCAAGGTCCTTACACCTTCCTGATTTTACAAATAGAGACTTTAAAAGGTGGACCAGCACTCCACCATGCCACTGCTGTCACCGTGTCTGTGCTTTACATTACCTTTGATTTCTTGGAGAGATGGATAAGGAACTTCTCATATTGCTCTATTGCAAAAATGAGGTTTGGGATGGGCTTGGTGTCCCGCAGCACCTTGGCCTGAAATGCAGAAAGGAGGGTGATGGATGGGTTAAGATTTGGAAGTGAACACTGACACTGTACTGTGACATGAAGACCACGACACTCCCAGTTCAGAAAAGTCTTCAGGCACCTTGCTCCACACCAGTGCTGCCCCAGCAAGCCTTGCTGGTTTGTTACTGGTTTTGAATCGACTCCCAGGCTGGTTCTGCAGCGAGGGTCTCCTGTGTGTTTAGTACTCTGCTAGGCACCAGAGCACAACCTCCTCTGCTCCAGCTCTGCAGAGGCATCAGAAGCATGCACCTGCCAGGCAGTGAGCCTGTCACTGCTTCACAGGGGTTTGTTTCCCCACCACTGATCTTTGTTCCCCAGGTGACAGTGGTAAGAGGCCTGCAGCATTTCAGCCCCTTTGCATGCACTGGGAAGAGCATGCTTGTGGCTCTTAAACCCTCAGCACCAGAGGAATGGGACAACTGGCCAGACAGAGGGAATGCTGGCTGGGAGCAAGAAGAAAGGACAAAAGAAAGACCAGGAGCCTGCTCACTTGCTCCCAGACCAAATCAGCCCTTCTCCACTGCCTTACTTCAGTGGAATCCACTACCTACGTTAAAAGTACTGATGAATGTGAGAAACACTTGAACAAAGTGCACTATTGGTTCCAAGAAATTATTCCTTTTCTATAAATTCATAGCTTACCTCAAATGATAAAATAGCAGACAAGACAGATCATCCAGACGTGACCTTCATGTCATGTCTGTGAGATTTTCCACTGCATTTAGTGAAGATGGCTTTTTTTTTTTTGTTGTGGGTTTGCTTTTTTTTTATTATTATTTTTATTTGTTTGGGTTTTTTTAGACCTCTTTCTGAAGTTGAGGTAGAATAAATTAGATTTTTACTTAAAGGTCCAAATGACAATTTGTCACTGGTGATCTAGAAGAAGCCACCAGGTAACAAAAGCCTTGAAGTATGATCCCCAGTTCAAATACAGCCCACATGCTAACAGAGAGCAAGTCAATCTTACCATGACTGTGGAGACTGCAGCAGCTTCATCCTCTTTCTTCTTCTTTTTCTTCTCTTCTGCAAAGCTTAAGCTCTCACTGTGGATGTTCTGAAGGAGGATGCCAAAAGATGTGGCATTAGAAGGGCGAGCAGGGAAGAAAGGCCAGCCAAGTCAGGCCTGAGCAGTTTTGGCTCTGAGCAGCTACCAGCATTACCAGCTAGATGCCAGAAAAGCAGTGATACATGAAGGATAGAATTGAGAGTGATCTCAAAAAACAGAGGGAGGAAAAGGAGGAAAGGAAACACTAATTTCACAACTTATACATTCGGAAGTACATGTGTGAGAAGTCCTGAGGAGTGGTAGCTCTGTACACCACCACCCCTTCCCCACTAGGCCACATCTGTTGCACAGTTCCTCCCTCCAGCACCCAATTCCTCTCCCAGCAGCTGAGTCCCATCTCTGGCACTGCAGTCTTTGGCACCCACGTTATTTTACACTCTGATGACTGCAGTGTCATTGACTTTTATTTGCCATTGTGGTCAACAGCAGCATCCATCTCATAAAAAAAAAAACAAAGACATGAACAGAGAGGGGAAAATAAGAGCTAAAAAACCAGGTCCCCAAACACTCTTCCCTCCTTACTCAAGCAGAAATCAACATGCTTGCTCCCAATGGTGCTGAAATATCTTACACTATTATTTGACAGAGTAAAGCTTGAAATACATGAAACTCAAGTCATGTCAAGAAGATGAATAATCCCCAAAGGTCTGTGTACTGCAACTGATGCACCACTCAGCATCAGAGAGACTGACTGGGATTTTGTCACGGTTAATTTATGCCTTACCTGTACATAAGTAATGAAGGAGTAACACTGGGGGGTCAAATGGGAACCCGAGAGCTTCACCTGCAGAGCAGCAGAGAGGGAGGTTGGTGTTACTCCCAGCTCGAGGCAAGGAGCCACCTCCTCCAGCCATTCACCCCCACTCACCAGCTTTTCCAGCCTCCCTGGGACCGTGCAGGAGGTGCTGCGGCAAGCTTGGACGTACTGCAAGGCAAACACAAGAGTTTCTGCTACACTGTTTCCAGGCAGGGCCCAGCACAGCCCTCCAACTGCACAGTGAGGAGGGCAGGATTTACAAGATCCACCCTCCCCAGTGGCTTACTACATCCTGAATGCCATGTCTGCATTCCAGAGCTATGAGAGAGCTAAGGGAATTCTCCACCTTGTCTCAAACTAGCTCCACTGGCCTGTTCTCACAGCCCAGCTCCCCCTGGTCCAATGCTGCAAGCCTTAGAGGGGAAGGAGTGGCAAGGGCAGGATGAGTGCTGAGAACATCACTAGTGCCTTCACCCTGGCACACAGCTAGGTACAGAGGAAGCTACAAGATACACAGGAGAGAAAGAGCCACCCCAAGCCACACAAAGCCAGGTTCAGGTGGAGAGAAGCTTTCCTTTATCTCCACTGGTACAACTGTCACTGCTGCAGAAAGGTCTTGACACTGAGGACACAGAAGCCAACAGTGATGAAGGACTCAACTTGGGCAAGGGTGTCCTGAGCGTGGCTGCTGGCAGGGGTCACTGTGAGCTTGCTGCAGCAGATGAGGAAGAAGGTTTTAGATCCCAGCCAGCCCACCTTCAGCAGAGCAGCACTCACATGTTTGATGAGGGAGGTGAGAATTGCATATGTCTTGCTGAGGCTCCTCAGCAGCGTGTCCACACAGCTCCCTGCAGGGAGTGCTGTCTGTACCAGCTCATGATAAACTGTCAGTAGAGTTCCCAGCTGCAGGATTATACCTTTCTCCAGAGCTTGGGTTTGGTTTGATGCCTGAGAAGATTCTTCTAGAAGAAAGAGATGACTAGCTGGTGGATGTGTGTCCAATGAATTCAGTTATGTAGGTAGGAGGCACAAAACACCTCTGTGTCTGGTGCACAAAGCACCAGTCTGGTAACAGGGAAACCAGTCACTGGAGGGATTTTGTGACAACATCTTCTACCTTACATTGATCATGCTAAATCATTCAAGGAAGAGTTTAACCTGCCCTCAGACAATGCTACCCCAAAATCCCAAAGCAACGTTTTGCTCTCTGTCTTCATCTGCTTTTGACAAAGGTGCAACAGCAAGAAGTGGATCACTTTTATTACCTGATGTGTCTGATCCCAGACTGGTGAGTTTCTTGATAAGCCAATCCACCTCTTCAAGGACCTTATCCACCTGACCCAGAACCAGCAGCTAAGACACAAACACCAATAACAGGTTCTTGGAGGAATTGGGCACAACAGGGATCTACAAGCCACTTGTAGCAAAGTAGCCCTGGCCACCACGGGTTGTTCCATACCCCCTGTTTTGACTCACACAGACAGTAGGGGCTGCAGTCTTGGCATTCACGATGGCAAAATGGGACCGACTCTCCAATTCTATGTCCTGGTCAGAGAGGAGAATAAATTCTGGTGAGTAAACCTTCAGCTGCTGTCAGAGTTTTTGCCAGAGGTTCACTCAGCTCTGCCCTGACAGGGGGACTAAGTGATGCAGAGTTGGGCTGCTTCTGTGCCATACCTGATCGATGTCTCCCAGGCAAGCGTGGATGTCTTGTGCCAGTTCCCGCAGCAGACCGACAGGACTCTTGTACTGAACGTGGAGACTGAAGAGCAGGGACAGCAAACCCTTGCAGCAAGCCACATCCTCTGTGGGCAAGGGGGAGAGAAGGATGCATTACCAGACACAGAGCTCCCCTAGCTATCTAGGAACATCAGACATCTCCGACTCGGTACGGACTGAACAGTCTGCGTTCCCAGAGATGACACAGAGCAGGTGAAAATCCTGTCAAAACACCACAGCTACAAAAGCAGGGTTTACATCATCAGGCATCCCATCCAGTCCTGCAGAGGGAAGGTGGCCCACCACACTTTGCTCCCCAAAACTTACTTACCCAGAGCATTTTCTTTGCAAACTTTGACCGTCCAAGTCAGGAATTGAAGGAACTGTACAAGTGGAGAAAAGATATCGTGACTTTGAAACAGAATTCAAAGTACAAAACTAATCAAATTTAAAGAAACAAATTCAAGACAATGTATCACAGCAAAGGGAAATGAGCAGAGTCCCCTTCTAGCAGAAGGGCACCCAGCCATGCTCTGTGAATTTCCACAAGGGACTCTTAACCTACTAACAAGTGAAAAGCTGAGACCCAGGGCAGGAGAACAGCTATATGTTCCCTTGGACAGAGTAGCAACTCCATTTAATTTAAGGTAAATGATGACTCCAGACTTCTAGCACACTTTTAGTGCAGCCCCTAGCTTGTAAAATTGGGGCACTTCAGAAAATCCCTCCTCGCATGGAAGGGATTAGGCACTCAGCCCGTTTGGACTGGTCACAACTCTGCTGGCCTTTTTGGCTCCATCCCCATGCAGAAGCCATACCACAGCTAGGCTCTGTGAGGAGGCCCTGCTCAGGCAAACAACTCATTCAGACTCCAGGTGCCCAAGGGCAGGACTGGAACATGCAGGAGTGGAGAGGGAAGACAACTTGTTCTGAACTGTCCTTGCGGGTGGGTGACAGGAGCGTGCTTGGTAATGTAACAAAACTGTCCCTTTGAGATGGTGTGGTCTGCAGGAGAACACACACACGTGTCAGAGCCCTCAGATGCCAACCCAGTCTGATAGTCTTCCCACACCTATGGCTGCCACCCCTGAAGGTTGTGAAGTACCTGCTGAGAGGCCGGATCCAGGAGTCTGGACAAAGTGGAGAGAATTGTGATGAGTGACTGCGTCTCCTTGGAGTTGAAGTCATCTTCAGCACTGCTGAACTGGTTCACCAGGGACCTCTGCTCACAGGAAGGAAAGACAGACCTCTTAAGTGTGCACGCTTGTTGCAAGGCCATTTTAAGAAGCAAATAATCAGAAGCTGTAGCAGATAAAGGAATCATCAATAAGAAGAATGACAAAGAATATAAAAAGAGGTCTCTTCTAAAGAGCAAACGCTGCTTTTTGTTATGAGTGCTTACACAGAGGCCTGCATATGATTCAGTGTGACTTTTACAATACTCAGATAAGTTTATGCTGCACTGAAGGGCCCTATAGCTCTGTAAATACAAGTGTACTTCAATCCAGCTCCACGCAGCACCCTGAAGAAGTTTTCCTCAGGGATCAGAAGCTTTTCTGAGCTGCTAGTGAATCACTGTCATGGTTGCTATCACGTACTCAATCCTGTGGTCAAGCAACAGAGAGCTAGAAGCATTTTCTGCCAGAATTACAAGTGCTTTGGAACACTTGCAGCACGCAGTGGTACTTACCTGAAACTGTCGGATCTGGAAGGCAGCTTTCTCTGTGACATTAATATCCGTCTCTCCTGCGTCACCATCAGTAATATCTGGCAGAGACAGAGAGGTGCAGAAAAAAAACCTAAATGCCAAGAGCAGAATACAGGATTTATTTCCAAAAGTGGGAAAGACTGCAACTGCTCACAGCTAGGAGGAATACAGACTGCAAAACCGTGGTGAGCACAAAAAATGTGTTAAAGGCAAACTTGAAATAGATGAATGCTATATTGGCCCTGATATGCTGTCCTCTGCTGACAGACTGAGAGCTCTACAGAAGCAGGTAAAGAGATCTCTCAAACTTGCCTCTGGTGTGAGCATCAGTGCTACTAAGTCCACCTTGCTACTGAAAGATAAGGAGCAGACCCCTCCCTCCCTAGCTGTGGATAAAAGGCCTTGGGTCCCTGACTGCCCACACACGGGCTGCAACATGCAGGCTAGAAATCAGAGCAGAGCTGTGCCCTGTGCCTACCCAGGGCCTGCAGGAACTGGGGGATCCTGGCAGAGTACAGCTGCTGCACAGTGTTGAAGATCCTCAGCAAACCTTCCAGGCACAGGAGTGAAATGCTCTTGCCCTTCTTCTTCCCCGACTCTTCAACAGCAGTGGGAATTGAAGTGTACCTCCACAGCAGAACCCTGTGGGATGGGAGAGGAGTTAACATCACACGCTCCAGAAAAGCTGGCTGCACAGTGCAAGCACCAGAGCAGAGCTAATTTCTAAAAGAGATTCTGCTCTTTTTTAATATAACTAAATTGGAAAGTCTTTTTCCTACAGGAAGTGGAGGGAGAGGAGATCCATTTTTAAGGAGGTTTTGTTTCAATGTCAGCAAAACAGATACTGTAATCTTCCTGCACAGCTAAATAATTTAATTCTTTCCAGGTGCCAAGGGACCTTCCAATCCCATTTCAAGTCCATCTTTATATGCTCGTTTCTTCCACCCAGCTTTCCCCTCTGTCTCAGACTACCCGAACACTGACCACTGGTGTCAAATCTGTCAGCAACAAAAAGAGCTTTTCTCTTGGCAGTTTGGATCTGTGAAATGTCAGATATCACTATAGGGCTCTATACAAATAAAACCAGAAAGGTGAAGGCAGGCAAAGCAATGCGAAAAGCTTTGAAGAAAGCAAAATTGTTTGGCCCAAAGGAGACTTTTCTATTTGTAGGCAAACATCTTTTTCCTGCTCCTCTAAGCCCACTTCTTCCCTTTTTTGTTCTCTCTCCTTTCTTCTCATTAGTTCTGTTGCCTGAGCAGATGATCTTATTCTATTTCAACGTCCAATCACGCAAAACATGTAGCTCACATGTAGTCCTAATGACTGCAACAAAAATAGCCTCCATTATTTGGGCTGAGACACAAAACAGGCATTATTCGTGGCTAGGGTAATTTGCATTTTGTGCTCTCTGAAGACTGGGATGTGAAAAGACCCCATGCAGATATGACCTAGATCCCAGAAGACATTTACATGGTTAACATTCTTGGATTTCAAAAGGATTAGATGCATGAATGTCTTCAAGCATCTTGCAAAAGTCCTAAACAAATGTTTTCTAAAGCTTGTGTCCCTCTTACATCTGCTCTGTACTGTAGCTAGAAGTGAATTTCAACTTTGTTGTGTCCCAGAGGACTCCAGAATCCAGCCTGTAACCATCGTTCCTCCTTTGTGACAATGAGTGATGAACCAAAAGTCAGAAAGAGGCTGAAAATGAGAGTTTGATGGTGTTTGGATCTTCCAGGCCAGGTACCATTATTAGAGCTGTATCGCTCACTCTGGCACAGAAAATGTAGTTGATTTCTCAGGAGCAAAGAAACGCAACGATCTCAGCCCCGTAATAACAACTGTTTGGAACAGTTATAGAGCACATTCTTCTTTCAAAACCCTGCCTGAGAATCAAAAACCCCCCAAATGCCTTGCAGCTTTCTAGGGCCGCTACCTTCGCGTGCCACGGCGACTCACCGCGTGATCTTGCAGAGGCTCTGAAACATCTTGTCAGGGTTCTGCCCGTCGGGGCCGTGGGTCTGCCCCGTCTCCTCCAGCTGCTGCACCTTCTGCAGAGCCACGCCCACGGCGTAGCGCAGGAACTCCGCGCTGGAGCGCAGCACCCCCAGGCTCTCCTCGTGGCTTTGGGCGTCGTCCCTGGGGAATTCAGAGCACGGTCAGAGGCTCCAGGAGGCACTGAGAAAGGGCCTGAGAGATTGAAAAGCCAAACGTGCATTCACAGATAAAAGAGGCAGCTGAATTCAGGGTGGCAAAGGGCCCTTTGTTTTGGCAGCTTGTAGGGAACGCTTCGAGTGTGGAGTTCCACCGGCCTCTCCAAATGCACCAACAGACATGGTTTGAATTGATGTCTGGATTTGTCCCTTAGGGGAGTGGAGCTCAGACACTGGAGTTTGTTGTCTGGGGAATGACTGGAGCAGCAGAGACTCTCCGAGGTCTTACAAGTCACAAGCAAGGCCCAGGAAAGCTGGTTTGCCCACACCAGGAGTCGCACAGCTATGGTTCCTGCCTGGGCAATGATGCTCCCCAGAGCATCTCTCTTGCCACACAGGCTCTGCACAGCAATGAAAACGCCTGTATGGTGTATGCAGAGCACAGGACAGCCAGCATGCAGACACCACCAAAGCAGCTTCTAAATAGGCCTCAAAGCTACTCCAGATGTGACAGCTTCCCACCTGAACAGAGCTGTGAGCAGAGTAGATACAAAACCCATGGACAGGAAGCTCCGTGCAGTTTTGTTGCCCAAGGCAGATTTATTCTTTCCAGCCTTCTCCTTCAGGATTTCCGAGAGTTTGTTGTAACAGGTAAACAGGCCTAGGACATCCTCAAACTTGTTCTTACTGCAACAAAGCAGCAGAAAGCATTGATGCAGAAAACCCAGTCTTATAGTTTCCCCATTTCAAGCTTTGCTTGCCAAATGACAGTGACACTTTCTAAATGATAAAACCCTGACATGGCATCTCCTTACCTCCCTAACAATTTATACCTCATCCATTATTCCTTGACCTGCTCTTCTACAAAACATCACCTCCTGTCCCCCACAACACTCAACAGGAAGACAATCCCCAAGGCTCTGTGCCACAAGGCACTCACACTCCAAAAACATCATTCTGATTCTGTGTTGGCACCGTTACCCCGGGCTTGCAGTGAGGCTGTACTCTGCAGAGCCAGGCACAGAACAGCACAGCCAGTGCTGGAGGGTAAGCTTTGATGTTTTACCTGAAATGCCCTATGTTGAAATTGTACTCCATCAGGACCTCACAGACTCCCATCACCTGAATGGCATAGATGTTATTCTTTACACCAACACCAGAAGACAGAGAAAAATCTGCTGATTTATCCTAAGAGGGAAAGGAAACAAGTGAAAAAGCTTTTCAAAACCTGACAAGAACTCAGCGTCTTCTTCCTCTGAGTCAAACTGAAAATGTGATTTACCAATTCAAAATCTTCCAACTCGCTCTTGATCATTCGTCGTGTGACAGATTCTAGAATGTCTTCAAAGTTTTGCTCGAATCCCTCCTCCTCCTCCTCCTCCTCCTCCTCCTCTTCTTCAGCTCTTTGGCACGGACGCGCAGTGCTCTTATACCAGGCGAGACAGTGCTGGATGCAGCAGAGCAGATGGGCCTGAAGGAAGCAGCCACACCACCAGTTTCAGGTCACCAGCAGAAGAAGACACAGGCCAGACTACCATGGCTGGATGCAGAGAGCCACAGCTGCCTTTGGAGGTTCACGTGAGACTCAGGAATATGCCTCATCCCCAGAATGTAGTCCTACACACAGCTACCCTGTTCTAGCTTCAATGTTGTCTGCCTGAGCTTGCCTGTGTGGGATGGAAAGACTTAACTCCCACTGCTCCCTCAACCCAGCTACCACAACTGCTGAAGGAGATGGAAAGGGAATTTCCAAAGGGGGTCTCACTCTAGTGACGCATCTGCTCCCCTCCTGGGTGTGCTACTGAGCACAGCAGGGGAGCTTCCTGAGGGGAAAACAAAGTGATTAACTTGAATTTGTTCCCTCCGAAATTCAACGAAACATTGAGGTCTCACCCCCAACAATCTCAAAGGAGCAAAACCAAAGGGCAGGTTATTCCCCCTGCTACACACACACTGCATGACTTTTGTATGTGAAATCCAGTTGAAGGAGTGAGGGGGAAACAACAGAGTGAGCTCAACAAAGGATAACAGAACTACACGATTTTTTACTACACTAGAGCATTTCTCACACAGGTCCCCTAAACCTCTGCACTAGTGGAGCTCTAATAGCTAGCCAGAGACAGGGGTGAGATGCCCAGCTCTACTGTCATTAAAAAAAATTACTCCAGGCTAGAGGTGGGTGAAGAAACACAAGGTATTCAGCTCATGCAGCAGCAGCACAATTAGAACACTGTGAAACAGATGAGCTTGCAGCTGCAACCAGCCAGGATAGCTCTTACCAGTGGTTCCTGCAGAAAGATTTGATCTCCTTGAGCCATAATACATCCCTCAAGTTTTAGTGGAGGCAGGAGGTCTTGCTGGGGCAAGTAATATTGCTTTATCTGTCACAGAAAGCAAGAAATAAAAATAACCAGTTACTTGGTAACTGAGCCTCTGAGGTTGTTTGAACACAGAGTAGTGTAATCTTTTGTGCTCCATTCTGTGGAGTGAAAGCTGGCACTGTAATAATGGGACTGTACATGTATGTGACCATGTCACTGGGTCTCTTAGTAATTAAAAATCCTCTCCCAAGTTGCTCATGTGCCTCTCAGGACAGGTTGCTGCCCTTTAACAAGTTTATCTGACCATTTCTTGTTCTGTTGCCTCAATGTACATCAGGATGGGTATTTCAGGACATGGTTTAATGGTCATGGTAGTGTTGGGCTGATGGTTGGACTTAATGATCTCAGAGGTCTTTTCCAACCTCGATTCCCTGATTCTATTACTTGCACTTGACACTGAGTGCTGCCCATCCTTTAGACAGTGAGGACAAGTAACTGCTCCTGCCACCTGTCACCCACAGTGAACATTTGGTCCTGCTACAGCATCCAGCTTCCTGGCCTGGGGGCACAGGCAGTTATGGAGGCTACACCTGGGACAAAACCAAGGAGACCACACTTGCACCAATTCCTGGCTGCTTGGCACCCCACAGGAAAGACATATGCTCTGAGTACTGATACAGGATCAGAACTGAATAGGAAAAGTTATATAACAATGGTATAACATTGTATACATTTACACCAAGTTCCCATTAAGTGCCCTCTGCTACCCAAAAGCTGCCCTTGCTCTGTTCATGTTCCTTTCTCAGACCCCTGTGCTGTCATGGGAAAGCTGGAATTAGTCAGCATGAACTCTACGGATGATTAAAGGGAAGAAAATTACTTGTCTCAAAGAAAGCACAGCCTGTCCAATGGATTGAGGAAAAGTGATTGTCTTGTTGCCATGAGCAACACTGTTGGGGGATGAGTTAATCCTCCCAGGTCTTACATGGACTGGGGTATTCTCCCAATGGGAGGACAGCACTCGTAATTACAGTGTCAGCACAGACCCTGGGGGGAGCACGGGAGGGAACTGCTGAGCACTGCTGAGGAACAGAGGGTGCACAAGGCACTCCTCTGGGCTCACACTTCTCACACCGTCTCAGAACTGAAGGCTTGGAAGGGGCTCCAATAGGCCCTTTCCCTTCCACCCCATGACAGGATACGAACCAGTCTCCAGAGGTTTACCTGGTCTGCACTCTCAGCACAGCAGGGATGTGAACACCTCCTTAGAGAAGGGCCACAGCATTTTAAAACATGTTTGCAGTGCAAGGGAGAACTGTTTTCCCACTATTTAACCCGAGTCGCTCGTTACACTGGTTGCAGTGCAGAATTCTTGCTCTCTTCAGCCATGCCACAGAGGACTTTACCTGGGACAAGAGTGTTTCCATGATGGAGCTGGCCAACTGGGAGTTCCTGCGAAGGACATCATAAAACCCCTGAAGACAGGAAGGAAGGACAAGCTGGCTTACACAGCACAGAAAACAAACCACCTGCATAATCATTTGGCGTCACAAGACAGCAACGACCCTTTGGCACCACAAGGAACCATGAGGAAGTAACAGTGTGCTCAGTGTAAAGTTCCATACCTGGCAAGGCAAAGGCACCACAGAAAGAAGGTATGAATCAGAAAGGGTACGAATTTCCCCACAGGGCCCCTCTCACAGGCTCCATCTCCCTAGCAGCGGTGGCACCAAGCCCAGAGTGACTTTCACTGCTATTTAACACTAGCACTAGATCCAACTTCAAACTGTGAAATCCTGCTTCAAAGGCAAAACAAGCCAGCAGGGTGACTGTAGGAGGCAAAAAAATCCTTCAGGCTGAGAAAACTCAGACTTGCTCAGATAGAGCAAGCACCAGACTTCCAGCAAGAGTGGCAAATGTGCCCAAAACTTGTTGTTCATCAAGGGTCAGTCCAAGCAAGTCAAGAAGGAAACAAAATCTCTCTAACTCAAACATGTTTTTTTTTTTTCTCAAGGTGGTAGCTCAGTTACCTCAGGAGCTAAGACACACACTTAAATATGGCTTTTCATATTAGGCCATTTGTCACAAGAAAGCTAAGGGACAGACAAGCCCTTAGAGAAACTTGCACAAGGAAGAGGAGAAAAGACAAAACCCTGATGCAGTCTCTACAGAAGTGTCCCCGTACTCTCCAGTCACGGGTTTCTTCGGAGCTCACCATTAACTCCAAGCAACTCTGCATCTACCCAATGCCTGTTACAGCACTCCTGCTCTCACTGGGCATCAAACACTCTTCCCATTTCCTAGGCCACACCACAGGAAGAGAGACTTGGACACATTTTTGCTGTTAAGCAATGTGTGAGGTAAGGAAGATACATCAATGAGTCTTTGGGCTTATGACGGTGCAGACTGAAAAGAAGCAAAAGGATTAAAAAAATAATATATATATTTATATAGTCCTTGGTACATGTGTCCCATGAGGAACATAACTGAGATAGGTTGTCTTCCACAATAACATGATCCTGATTTACCTGGGGCTACAGCAGAACCAGACAACTGTTTAAAGGAGACTGAAGACACCCTGTTTACCTCGTACAACATGAGCCGAACGTCCGCTTGCTGGCGCAAGCACCGCCTCAGGCTGCCCAGGATTTCAAGGCAGAAGGCCTCATTAGCTGCAGAATTATAGCAGGCATGAACATCTGCCTGGACCTGAGAGGGAATATTAGTCACGTTATACTGGTTACAATTCTCAAATATCACAACACAGCAGCAAGGTGATAAGGGGCCTGATTCCTAAACAATCACTGAAATAGTCCTTGGTGTGCTGCCAGGCTCTTTATCATCGTGGAGAAGTGTGAGTGCTCCCCAGAATACTGGTGCTGTAAGAGAGAATGACTCCAAGAAGCAACATCCCTAGGCCAGCTTCTCTTTGCACATTGCACTTCCCAAAGTTTTCCTTCCAGGAGCAGTCCCTACTGAAGTTACACTTCCATTCTGGAGAAATACTCCACTCTGAGTTGTTTCAAGCAGTGCATGTTAGACAAGAGACTGCCTCGTACGTCCCCAGCAGGGACTGACTGCAGAACAGCACTTACCTGAGTGGCACCAATGGCCTGGCTGCACTGGGAAGAGGACAAGCTGCCCAGAATCTTAAAATTTCTCAACAGAAGCAAAAAGCCAGCAACTGCAGCTTTACGAGCATCGAGCTGCCTGTGAGTCAGGGAGAGAAAAGAGAAGCATAAGGAAAAATGGAAGCAAAAAGCTCAGAAGTAACACAAGATCAACTCAGTAATGAAAAAATGTCCACAAATACAGGGTGACTAGGCCAAAGGTGATAGTATCCCCAAGAGGATAGCATAGTCCCAAGCAGGTAAGAGCTTGTCAGCTTGCTGGGAACCCCTTGGGAACTCTCCCAACATTCCATCTCCTCTGTGTCCTTGCAGTGCTCACACTGAGGGAGAGCCCCAGGCCAAGACTCAAGCATTAAATGTCCTCTGAAACCTGGAGAGTCTCACAGAGCTCAGAGATGGAAAATTCCTCACAAAAAGGTGGTGTTTTGCTTTGCTCACCAAAACCCTGGGTCCTTCCCAAGACCAAGCCCCTTGCCTTGGATAACAAACCTAATTAAGAATTTTGTGTTCATAACCAGGCAGGCACTGCCCAATAAAACCCAGCCTGTGATCACAGCCTCAGCAGGATGGTGTGCTCAAAGCATTACCAAGACAACAAGACCGTGTCTCTAGCACCTTGTAAGGGATCAGAGGGAAGGTGGCAGCTCAGCATTCCAAGCAGTGGTTCCTTCCAGACTCTCCCTAACACCTGCATGTACTCAGCTGCATAGACACGTGTTGGAACTGGTTTTAATTTTGCCTGCTTATTTGGAATTCCCAAGAGTTTTCTCAATTTCCAAAGCCTGTTCAGGCTGGGGGCTGGGATTTGTGTCTCAGTTCAGTAGAGCTGTGACTGTATTACAGTCCTAGGCTAGTGAGGCAGCAGATGTCACCATCTAGTTACAAGAAGAACAAAGTATGACAACGCAGCCAAAACACACAGAACATACTTCTGCTCCAAAAACCATAAATGAGTTGTAGAAATCTTTTCAAAGAATCCCCTTCTCAGCTTACCTGGAGAAGATAGCTTTTTGGAGAACAAGTATCAGGGAGTCCCTCACTGACATGCTGACTTTGAGCAGAGGCTGGAAAGGAAGATATACTTTGGAGAGAAAAGCACCAAGGCATGCCAAGCCCTTGGGGCATATGAGCTCATCTTCCTCAGGCCCATCTGGCCCTGCATTTCCAATACTGTCATCAGTACAGTAGGAGACCCAGAACATTTTTAAACCATATAAAATTAAACCTGGAGATCTGCAGTCATGAAACACCTTAGCAGGTTGGTGAGGACACAGTGCAAGAGTTTGGGAAAAGGACTGTTATCCCCAGATTGAACAAAGCAGGTGGAAGTTCAATGCCAGGGCACTATCTCAGCCCAGTCAAAGAGAAATACTGACAGGGAGTTGGGAAGGAGAAAAATGACAGTTAACATGACAGTTAGAGCTGTACAGCTAAATACTGTATGCTTAAGTTTTCTCCAGTGTGCAGCATCTGGGCATCTTTCAGATGAAAGGTCAGCACAGAGCAGTCTTGGTACCACGCCAGGCCACACCATATGCTTTTGGCTAGAGGGCACAGGCAAACCCATGCTTGAAGAGCAGTTCCGTGCCATGCCAAACAAGCAGAGCGTGGAGGTCTGGTTTAGGAGGAGGGTTATTAGATCATGTGTATAATTGTGGCCTAGAGCTGTCACTGGAACTGAAGTGGCAAGGATATGCATGGGGAAATGCAAAGCTTTACCTGTACTGCCCGCAGGAGCCCTTGCACTGTGTCGATGGGCAGAAAGGACAAATTGTCAAAGGTCTCTGTGACTTTGGAGGATGAAGTCTGAAGCACAAGAGGAGCAGACACAACAATATTGGACAGCAAGTCTGAAAAATAAGAGGATGAAAGGAGTAGCTGCTGCCAAGGGGCCAGAAAAGTCTGAGCAGAAGATGTCTACAGAGCTAACAGTTACAGACTAATCAAAGCCCTTCCATTATGCAGAGAGGTCGTGACAGGATGAGCACTGAAAACCTGAGCTCTGCTGCAGGTACAAAGTGTGAAAGTCTCACAACTGGGCTGAAGGGCCTCACCCCACCAGAGGGCACTGAGGTATAAGGTAAGAGGCTGCAGCATAGGCCTCTTGCAGCCCCAGCGACTCCAAGCACCTGCCCAAGGACAAGAAGGAAGGCAAGGCAAGGCTAGGAACATGTAAGGAGTTACTGACTGATGGATACCAACTTTCTGTGCGTCAGCTGCTCCATGGCAACTGCCTGCAAACATGTTTTTCACCTGCAATGAATACAAGGTAATGTGATGCAGCTGACACCTCAGTAAGAGGGAAGGAACAACTGATCTTCCTGGCTTCTGGGCACTTCAGCGGGAACTTCAGAAAGCCAGCTGTATCCTGGGCTGTATCCCCAGCAGTGTGGGCATAGGGCAGGGAGGGGATCCTGCCCCTCTGCTCCCCTCTGGGAGACCCCCCTGCAGTGCTGGGGCAGCTCTGTAGTCCTCAGCACAGCAGAGCCGGGGACCTGCTGCAGCAGGGCCAGAAGAGGCCACAGAAGTGAGCCGAGAGCTGGACCCTCTCTGCTGTGAGGCCAAGCTGAGAGAGTCAGGGTCCTTCAGCCAAGAGAAGAGAAGGCTCCAGTGAGAGCTTATTGCAGCCCTTCAGTACTTAAAAGGGGCCTATCAGAAAGATGGGGAGAGACTTTTTAGTAGGCCCTGTTGGGACAGGACAAGGGTTGATGATTTTAATCTAAAAGAGGGGAGATTTAGACTAGATTTAAGGAAGAAATTTTTTACAGAGACGTGAAACACCAGCCCAGGTTGCCCAGAGAAGTGGTTGATTCCCCATCCCTGGAAACATTCCAGGTGAGGTTGGACTGGGCTCTGAGCAACCTGCTCTAGTTGAAGATCATAGAATCATGTATCTCCCTGCTTAGTGCAGGGGGGTTGGACTAGGTGACCTCTAAAGCAATCCAAAGCAATCTATGACTCTACAACTTGTTCTGAGAAACTATGTGCTGAGTGTCCACAGAGCAAGACACATTTCCCTCTCTTTCCTGTTACCTATGAAGTGGCTGACAGGAGATGCTGCTTTTGTGAGGACTCTGTTCAGGACCTGCTCAAGAATATCACTTCTGATGGGCTCATGAACCTGAAATGAGAAAGAACGATAAAAAATCAAAACCTAAATCAATTTAGGATATTCTTGTACTTCACAGCACAGGTATTGTGCAGGACAAAGGAAATCCAGATCTGACAGGTAAGCTGGGACTGGGTGCCACAAGTCCCCTTTCAGCTAAATTCACACAGACCTATTCAGATTTCATCCTGGGCCAGTCAGAATCAGCACATCACAGTACACTTGGAACATAACAGGCCAAATCACCTGTGGGTGCAAATTTACCACTTCAGTGAAGATGCTGGTTTCAGTCCCTCTGAGAGATTCAGTCCCTCCCTGACAGATTTTCTTTGTACCTCTGCATTTCTGCACCTTGTCAGCAGTTTCTTGGAAACCGTAATAAGGATTACACAAGTATTGTGGTAGCTGGAACAGATTAGGATTAGGTCCTTATGAGGATGGCCTCTTCCAGCTGGACAGGGGCAAGTAGGAAACCAAGTGGACTAAATCTAGTACTGGTTGTACAATATACATGATGGATACAGCAGACAAGGTTTTGACACCGTTTACCAAGAAAGAATAAGAACAGAGTTCCCCCCATCCCAAAAAAAAAAACCTCTCCAAAGCCTACACTACCTTAAAGGTTTCCAGCAGGATACTTGCTCCCAGTCTGCAAGTCTGCTGGGCTGGCATCTTTGAAAGGCCATCAGCAGTTTTTCCTCCAAAGGACTTTTTTGGTTCATATGATTCCATGAGGCTGAAGCCAAGATCGACCAGGCCCTGAGTAACGTGGTCCCAGCCAAACACACTGAGGAGAACATGAAACAGACCAGGAAGGAAACAGCTTAGTCACCAAAAAAGTTTAGTTTAGAGCAGTAAAAGAGTGAAAGTAAAGTAAAATCATCTGGAGCCATTCCAGGGTCCAAAGCAGCAGTAAGAATGCTTGATCACCAGAGGGAAGATGACATCCCTCACAGCCCCATGACTGTCTTTAGGCTGAGGGACAGGTGCTCAGCCCAAAACAGTCCAGGTTCTGCAACCACCAGATTTCCTTTCCAGTCCAAAGGTTTCCTCACAATGAGGAACGATGCGTGCTCAGGTCTGATCTGAATGTGACAGTCGGCTACAAATATCCTGCTGGTCCTGAGATCTTCAAGTCAGAGAGGAAGAAAGAAGAGGAATGCTTCACACCAAACTGAAGGACAACTGGTGACAGGTCACAGAGCTGTTCCACAGGGCGCTTAAAGGATTAACCATGTGGGGGAAAAAAAGAGTGAACCTATCGCTCATCCCTTGATCAGGACAGACTACAGCCAGCAGCACGACTCAAACTGTCAGCTGCTTTACCAGTAAGAAACAAGGTCCAGATCCATTTAGTCCTTTGTACCCCCAGATGCTGAGATTTGAGGTAGAGGGGACAGATTTATACAGTTATGTTTTGTTGCCTTCTTTTTTTTTTTAATTCACCACTATAAAACTGGGATTAAAGATCTGGATTTTGACACTGTTCCTTGCTGGCACCGGGTCACCAGTATTTAGCTCTCCAGAGGATTCTAGCAAGGCTGAAACTCCCTCCCTCCCAAAGCCCATTGAGTGTTTTGCAGCACGTGGCAAGTACTCACCTATTTTTCACCACTTCCAGAATTACAGCAGTTACATCATATTGTTGAGGGAACAAATCCTGCAGAAACTTGGAGGCCTGAAGGAACTGCAGGTCCTTGCAGCTTCTGGTGATTGATGTTTTCAAGAAATCAAATATCTGGAACATAAAATCACTGAGTGTGAGGAAGTGAACTTTGAATTGGGACCTGTATAGGCTTGGGTATGTTCCAGCAAGAGCACCAGCCAGAGCACAAGTTTCAGTACAGCCTGCCAAAAATCTTAACTCAGTTCCTTCTCAGGACAAATATACCAGCCTCATTAAGTGCCTCAAGTAGGGTAGCTAGCTGCCAGATGCTCTTCAGGTGGCCACCACAGAGCCAAGACTTTAGGAAAAAAAGACATTGCTTTTCTTCTCATCCTACTATTCCAACCCAAAGGAATCACAGGTCTGGAAAATTCTGATATTGCTCTGGGGCCCTTTAGTGTTCAGTAAACTACAGCACACCAGTGATCTAACTGCCTCACCACGAACACCCTGACATCATTTTAAGCCTACTTCTGACGGGACTATGACCTAATCATGCCTCCTTTCCTTCACAAGGAGTGCAGTGCACATCCCCATGGAAGTTCTCTGCAAGCTTATCATCCACATACCTGCTCTTGCAGTTGGTGTTTTACAGCAACCGACAGGAGAAGAGCCACGCTGAAGGGACACAGGGCTCTGCCAGGGTCCTTCTGTTGCTCAGTCTAGAAAATGGCAAGCTACAGTCAGAAATCTTATCATCAGCTGCAGTGTCCCCCAAGCTGAGGGAAGCTATCGGGCACGTGTGTCTTCAAACGTATCAGAGCACTTGTTAAAATGAACGTGACCACAACCACAAAAAAAATTAGGTCTCTTCTATGGATAACCAATGAAGTTTTAAAACCCCTGTTTCAGCATCTTCAAGAATAGTGCCTGCTTGAAATGCTGGGGTTTGAACCCCAAGCCCCTGAATTAAGGTTGACATATGGGTGATTCCCACAGCCCTTCATACAGAGGTGGTGAGTTTGCCTTAGAGCTTCCCCCCAGGGTGCGGCCGGCCCTGCAGGGAGAGCCAGAAGGGAAATGAGCCCCAGGGGTCCCGCAGGGAGCTGACAAAGGTCAGGGGTCTGCTTGGGGATAAAAGCTGGGACCACTGGCAGGGAGTCAGGAGTGTCTGTCTGTGGAGTGCACTCCCCAGAGCTGCCTGGTTCAGGGCAGACCTCCTGACTCTCCCTGGAGCTGGGCCTCAGTCTGCTCAAGACCTTTGCAAACACGGGCTAGGAGGGCAAGAGCTGGCCATGTGGCTTCCCTTATCTTGTGTGTCCAACTTCCTGATCTGGCTGTTTCCCATTCCATCCATGGGCAGCCTTGGTTCTTTGCTTGTACCACCTATTGTCAGTCGGGTGATGTCTTTTTTGGGATTGTTGGGGGTAATGTCAGTTGTGTGTGAACTAATTGACCTGTTTGTACCCCCAGAGACCATTCATGGAATGTCCTTTTTGTATTCAATACATTCCACCTATTGGTTCATCTTCCTGCTGGCTGTGTCATTCCTGTTAGGCCCAGTCATTGGCAGAACACAGCTCCATCTTTGTCATACCTTTACGTGCCTGATGAGTTCCTTGCCCAGGTCCTGATCCAGGCTGATAGCAGAAACAATGTGGAGGATGACGGTGCCTTCCACGTGGCGGAGCTGGTCTAGGGGCATTGTGGCTACCTCAAGGTCCACTGATCTGTAAGTTTTATCAGAAAAAAAACCAAAAACAAACCACCCAAGGCCATAAATCATTTCTCATGTACAAAGGAGGGTGTATTTCTACAGGGTTTGACAACTCAGATTTAAGGACTACAGATAACCAGGTAGTAAAGGAAGGGGATGACAGAGGAAGGCCTTACTGTGGAACCTCGTGTTCTTCCTTTTGTCTCTTATCCAACTGATTGAAAAAACTGATGATTCCTTCTAAAACAGTCTTCTTACTGCCCTGCAAGGCAGGATATTGCATTGAGCCACTGCAGGGCCTGTAGTATCCCAGAGAACCCCACTCTATTCCCACACCAGTTACAAATGTCAGTATCCTTCATTTCCCCTCCTAATGGCTCATTTCCTGATGAAATGATTCTGGGTTAGTTCCTGTATTTCTTGAGACTGCACTTATCAAAGAGTGGGAAGAAACTGAAGCTCTCAGATGTTAGTTTTGGGGTTTTTTTTACCATTGTTATTAAACAGAAAGGATCCTTATGTTATAATCAACTGGGAAGGCTTTCAAATGCCTAACCTTAAATCTGACAACACATTTTGGCTAGCAGACCCAAATGACCTCCTATAACACTTATGTAATTTGCCTTTGACTGGATCATTTTGGCACTGACTTGGTCACAAATGAAGCAAGCAAAAGAACCAGACCACCCTACTGGAGGGCACAGCTGTCATTAGCAGCCTCTGCTTGCAGGAGGAGCACAAGACATGAGACATTTCCAGTACAAGTCAGACTACAACCCAGAAGACAGTCATGCTGTATGAGCTATGCAGAACACAGAGAGCAAAAACACTGAAAAAAAACCCCAAAACAGTCCTGTCTGCTGTCTGTGAAGTCTGTGCTCATCCCTCATTTCCCAAAGGCTTCATTTTTCCCCACAAGGAAGATCCAGACTGTACCTTCCTCTGAGCACCCAGCTTCTCAGGCTAGGAGTGAAGGGGAAAAATAAATAACTAAATAAATAAATACTGGTGTCCTGCCCCCCACAGCAGTTTGGGAAGACTCAAACTTCCTGCCCAAATGCAGCCCAGAGCTCAGTCTGTACACCCCTCTTCCCCCCAGAGCACATGCAGTGGGAGGACAGCTCCTGTGAGCTTTTACCTTTGCAGAAAGCAGCAGCAGCTGATAGACCAGAGGGGGGATTTCCTGCAGGTCTAATTTGGAGAACATCCTAAGGACCTTTTCCACCACAAACTGCAGCTCCTCTCTCGACAGTGGAATATCCCTGTTCAGCCAAAAGATGCAGCCTGATCATTTTCACTGTTTTCCTTCAGAATCCCACAGCAGAATCAACCCATAACTAGGCAAAGGGTCCTAATGTAACACCAGACAGCTACTGCTCCCAGAGTTCTCACTGGCAGCAGCTGCCACAGATCCCTCAATGCCCAACCACAGTCCCAGGATACTCCTCAGCCTTTGGTGCTTAGACCTTCTCCACATTATGTGTTGTTAATTGGCCAAGGCTCACTCGCACAGGGAACAAAACCCACGAGGCCATGCCCAGGCTTTGCCTGCCCAGCTGTGCTTTGCATCCACATGGATCCAATGCAGATGTTCATCAACCATCCCTGGGGCTGTGCCCAGCATGGTCAGACCTCCTACTTGTCCTTGTCCCAAGCTACATGTGAAATAGGACATGGACATGACCCGAGAAAGTGTTGATGGTGAGGGGAAAAGTTACCTGAACATGTTGGCAAGGTGTATTACACTCTGAGGATCCCACCTGGTAAAAGAAAAATGTGCTGGGAAACTGAGAGCAAGAATTGTCTTCTTCCCTCCTTGTACACAATGATTCAGTGTCACTGTTTCCCTGTCGTGTTGTGATATTCAGATCAGAAGCCAGAGTTCCACCAGAAATCCCTAGTGCCACTCTAACCACACAAACTCACAATGGTGCTGAGCCACCCCAGCCCCAACCATAATAAATATCAAGAAAGGGATAAAACCAAGCCCTTCCTGAGACCAGTCCATGACACACTATTACAAGGTGTGGGGACAGGGTGTTCCTTTGGCTGCCCAGCCAGAGAAGAGTCTGTCACAGTGGGCACTGACACAGACAGTGACATCCAGCCCATCGTGATGTCTCTTGTCAAAGCCCAGCAGGAAGCACAGTTCTGCCACGTGACAGAGCTGGCAGGGATGGACGTACTTGCTGGAGCAGAGGGTATTTATCAGCTGCTTCTTAAACTCTTCCCCACTCAGTTCACCTGGAAAACCAAAAGTCTCTCAGGAGCCGATCCCAGAGGAAGGAAGGACAGGCTGGGGAGAAGGAACTGAGAGGGGTTACCTTTCCCATAAGCCAGGCCCTCCTTTGAGCTGGCCAGGGCAGTGAGGACAGTGGAAAACAACTCCAAGGATTTCCCATTGGACAGGCTGCCACCTTTGATAACCCCCACAAACAGGGTGGCGAGCTCAGCCAAGGCATGGCCTGGCAGCTGGTGAGCCTGGCAGGAGACACAACAACATGCAAGAGCCTGAGGCAGTGCACAGAATTCCACACCAGCACAACACCCAGCAAAGGACAACGTTTCCTACAGCAAAATATTCCCCCAAAAGGGGAATTCAGCCCCGAGGCTCCTAGGTTGTACTGGCCTCCACAGAACAGAGCAGTAAATCAAGCTGGTGTGATTATAGGTTTGGAGTTTTGAGTCTAATTGTAAAAAAACAAAGATAATCACATTTACACACACAGCAGATTCCAACACCAGCTTAGTGCAGGGTGGACCTGTGGAAAGGACAGAATTAATTTCCCTTGGTGGCCTAGTGAAGCACCTCACTCCTCACACAAAACAATACCCAGCAGAGCCCAGGAACAGCAGCCCGAGTGAGCTTCTACCTCGAGCATCAGCAGTCCAGTGATTTCAGACACCTTGCCCAAAGGCAGGTCCCCCGACTCCACCAGTGGGATGCAGTGCTTGTAAATCTGGAGCCTCCTGAGAACCCCACTTGGCTGGGAACAGGGGGAGCCTTCAAACAGGGGAATAAAGAAAAGAGAGAATAGGGAAAAAGTTACACAAGTAACAACACCTTCCGAAGCAACAGGAAATTAGAGGGTTAAACTGTCACCTGACTGCAACCCGGTTTTATCTGTCTGACAAAACAGATCAAAACCCAGAGCGCAGGAAATGAGAGTCTCTTGGATACAGGAGCTGAAGTGCTCGGCCCATATCACACCCTGTGGCTCACCAAACCTGCTGCTGGAGATCAGCAAGTGTCAAAATGGTGAGAGGAATCGGCTTGGCAGTTAAATCTCACCTGGCCAGCTCAGTTCTGCTGGTCTGCTCAGTCCTGCTGGCCTACTCCGAGGTACCTAAAGGCTCCCCAAAGCAAAGTCCGCTTACAACAAGTTAATTATAGACGCATCAGTCCACTTTCCTACTTCCCCAGGTCTCTTTTCCATATCCGTGGCAGCCCTGACCGGCGGTTTCTTACCACAGGCGACACCCCTGGGCTGCTGAC